TCGTAAAAAATATTTCTGAGAAAAGGAATACTTGAATAAAAGATCTCGTAACTAAAAGAATAGTTTAGTTCGTAAACTATTTTACTAACTCCAATAAACTGAACACTCGTGAACTAGTCACTGGAGATCAAATATTTGTTAATGTAATGGAAGATTCTGGAACGTTCGAGTTTGTCTCTGTACGTGATCGGGAATGTAATGCTCACTAAATATCATCGTTAACTTACCTCTTAGATTTACTATGTTACATCTTTAAATATCACAATTATGTCAATAATAAGAAAATATTGCCATGTAGAATAATTTCTACTGTACATATAAATATGGTTTAATTTCCTAACGAAATTATCGTGATGGCAACACCGACAAACGAACGCATATTTAAAGGCATATTATTTAAATATTTTCTTAGGAAGCTCTAAGTAATCCATATACTTTTTAAGTAATAAGAATTATTTAAAAAAATTGTAGAATATTCCTTTTAAGTCAATAGTTTACTCTTATTTTATAAACATCGTATTAAATAAGAAATGAATTTGTATATAATAATAATGTATTTAAATGTAAGTAATATATGTTGAATCTTATATATGTTTTGTGTTACACAATATTATACATTCCTTTCATGTTATACGATGTTTACTTTACAAGAACGTGCCGTCAGAAACTCAATAGAACTGGGAATTCCTATTTTTTCAACCCTAACTAGCTAATTTAAGGTTGTACTTATGTTATCTTGGGTTTTTCAATGAAGGACGGACGTTTAAATGTATATTAAATTATTAAAAGTTTTATTAAAAACATTGTTACCAGGACTTTTCGCTAATATAAATTCGGAATCTTCAATCTTAGCATTTGTATTTGCAATTCATACAACAAATCAATTCACGTACAGTAACAACAGTACAATGTAAACACAGCCTATCAAAGTGCCATTATGTTTTATTTATGAGATTCGTTTTAAAATCGTAGATAAATTTCACGTTTCTACTTTCTTGTGTTCGGTTGGAATGTGTTGAAAACTTTTATTTTATTATATATGATACATTTGGGTGCTATTGAACTTTGAATGATTTTGTAAATCATTCGTTCGTTTATTTTTATAGTGTTGCCATTAAAAAAACATTACCCCGATTATTTGTTATATAACAAAAAGATATTAATTAATATTTGCTTATCTTATAAACACTGGACTTTTTAAGTAGCAAGTGATTTAACGTAATTAATTAGTTAATTAGAACGTAATTTCCATTTTCGTTTTGTATTCCACGCCCCCCGCGGTCTTTGTTACTGTTACTGTGGAACTTTATTTTTATTAGGCGTATTTCTTCGTCCGCGACTTAATTCCTAATTGCTTGTAATTTTCGACACGTGCTCGGCCACTGTTGCGTGAAGTGTCTATAGTCTAAATATACATTTGTAATTTGTTTCTACTATCTATAAATTTTTATTACATCTGTTTGGATTTGTTGGACTTTTGTTGCAGACAAAAATATATTTTTTTTTATATAATAATTGAGTCAATATTTCAATTAATATTATTACGTATTGATAGGAAGAAGCTAACCACAAGTCGCCTACATTTATCGTAGGACGTAGGTGAACACCACAAAGGTGTCTGTATAGCCCGCATTATTCTTGATTCTATTCATACTTTAAAAAAATCAACTCAACTTACTTGTATTGTAAGGATCTTTTGTTAGATCTACCAGCTACGCTTGACGCTTGAAAAACCTGTTCCCGATAACTTGTAACGATTACAAAAGACGGGAGGCGACGCTTTTGTTTTACAAGAATTTATTATGAAAGAGAAATAATTAAGTCCTAATTAATTTGAATAACTATTCTATTGTAATTATAATATATTGTTTAAATTTGTAAATACTTATATAAACTGTGTGTGGTACTTGTTTTTTGTGAATGTTTTTAATGCTCTGGATATGAGTCCTTTTCATACGTGTGTTGCCATAATTAATAAATTTGATATGTAAAATGAATTTAATTTAATTAAAAATGTAGTGTTTACATCCAATATGAATTATTCATAGCAGCAGATAATATTTATCTTCATTCATTCCTTAGCATTCATTTGACTGAGAACGGTTTAAACGAGAAAAAATACTATATTCAAGATTTTTCATTATGTCATCTTGAGTTTTAGCTTTTTTATGATCAATATAATTTCAAAATAGTATATATTACAATAGCATAAATATATATCGTGTGTTTTAATGATCTAGCTAGCTTGTACAATATTATGTATGAATTATATCCCGCGGCTTTGCTCGTTTCTGGAGTAAACATGTTTTATTTTGGCACATAAATATATGATTAGTATCATTTTAACCATAATATAAACGTTAAATATAAAAAAAAACTGATTCTATGAAGCAGTTAGATTTTAACATCATTACCTATGTTAAATATTTTGTATTGATTAAAAATGGGTTTTTCTGATAATTATTAACTTTACCAAAGATAAGTATCTTCATCAATCAACACGAATACAAAGGATTATTATGATAACATATTAAAAATTAATAATTATGTCATGTTTTCACCTTAATAAATTTTATATACATTAATTATATTTACCATTTTATAGATATATAATAATTATGTTTTAAGTATTCAATTATTGATACATGACTCGGTTATATTATATTATACAACTGATCTCACACAACCAATAACAAGTTTATTGATTATTTGAAATTAAAGGAATTATACAAAGGGAAAGGGGAAATTATACAAAATACCTATTATCTTTGTTCATTGATGTACTACACACATACGTATTTTTATAATTTGACCTTTTAACTACTATATGTGTAATTTATCCTTTATTATTTTTTATATTTAACTATGACGTCATTTTTGTTTATTTGAAAAACATCATTTTTATCTTATTCAATATGAATTTTCAACCAGATGCGATATAATGATAATATTTTATCTCTTTAACATGGAAGTATTTTTTATCACCAACAATACATCCCGGACTGATTGTATATAGTACTTGATAAGCTGTTACATACAACCACGTTAAATATACATATACATATATATATATATATATATATATATATATATATATATATATACATATATATGGGAATAGTGCAAGGTTCAGGAGCGATGCACTCGGTGTTTCTGTCTCTTTCTAAAATGGATTTTCAGTGTGCTAGAAAGAGATGGAGAATGGTAAAGGCTTCGCGGCTAGCTCCCAATCCGCCCGCCCGCCCAGTCGACTTTGGTTTTCTGACCTGATCACTAGTTACTGATAGCTTACAAATATATATTTTACTATGACTGTATATTGAATAAAAATAATAATTATTATCAATTTTAATTAATAATTGATTGAGTTTGAAGTGAAAAAATATATATACATAATACATATGTACCGGTAAGATTTTTTAATTATGTATTATACTAATATAATAGGAATTAATAAGAATAATATTTGATATTATTTAATATTAAATTGTTTTCAAAAACTCCGAGCCAATAAAGTATAACATATATCTAATAATAGTAATGAATCGATGAAGTATGTGACTTAAAAAGATCGGCTGTTTAGGATTTATGTCATCAAATATTATACTTATATAATATTAATATTAATTATAATATAAATTAATACTAGTTTAATATTTATGAATGTTATTAACATAAAAATATATTCGAATATGTCTTATTGTTTCATTCACGAATCTCGTTTTTAACATATATTTGACTATTATTCAGAAATGCAAGCTATTTATTAAAGTACATCTTAAAGTACTGATGCTGTATTCAGGTTTGAAGAACTGTTTGATGATAAAGAGGTTTTCATTCAAGATACTTGTTCTGTTGTTTCTGAGCAAGGGTTGTCACCCTCCTACGCACGTATCGCCATTCAAGTGGAAGACTACTTGTTCAAATATCTCGCTGTTAGCGTTCGTTTATTTAAACAATATGAATATATTTTAAATAATAATATAATCTAAATGAAAGTAATATTTTTGAGATTATACTAGGTATATTTTATTATTTTAAAACTATAAACTCCCGACGTTTCGATTACTTTTCAATTTTCATCAACCGTGATCACGGACAGAGATGAGATATAATAGGCGTAGTATATCCAAATAATATTAGTTTCATTTAAATGAATTCTAGCGAAAGTCTTAGACATCAATAACATAATCTATACCATACTATATTTTGATGTATTTACTAATTTTATAATACCAATGACGAGAATTGTTCTCATTTAATACTTTATCATATAATTCAATATCAGTTTTAGCAATGTCGCCGTTTTTTGCATATTTTCTTTTTATATCGGCAAAAAAATTCCTTATTCGTCTGAATTGATAAAAGAAGTGTTCTATTAATCATTCATAATAATTCTATTTGTCGTCAACAGTCTTTTGTTTAAGAACCAAAGTGTTTTTATGTCATCATCTAAAAATCCAAAGATCCAAAAATTTCGTTTCCATTGACAGATAATATATATAAAACTTAGGGAATAATAACTTCATTGTATATAAAATATATTTGCATTTTTAATCTGTGAATACTTTTACGAATAATTGCAAGCTAACAAGAATTTCTGTTTAAAAGTATTGATTCTATGCTTGTATTTTTCAAAGTGCTTTTTTCGCTGTATTGCCAAAGTTATTTTTTATGGTAATTGGAGATTATGGAAAAGCGTTTATTTCCTTGTTTTTACCGATGTTTGTAAACTAAATGAGACAATATATTTAAGTACGTAATGTTCCTTCTGTCCTCCATCTTTGTGCCGGTATGTCGATAACAATAATTACTATAGTGCCACAACCCTTACGTATGGCATAACCCCTCGTAATTACGATGCTTTAAAAACCTAGGGTGGAGTTTTTTTTATATTTACGTACATAGTTGTTTTATTTTGCACGATATCGATTTTGGCGTCGAGTTATTAAGTTTTGTATATAAGTAAGTTATTTAATTAGTTATTTTCTTTGTTACAGTTCACAGCCTGGGTTGACGCTGTGATTTTCGTGTTCAGTCTCGAAAACGAAACGAGTTACAACACGGTGTCCACTTACTTCAATAAGATGTCTCACTATCGGAATTCCGCAGAAATACCAATCATTTTAGTTGGAACTCAAGGTATGTTGAGATATTTATAAATACATAATTATTACATATGTTTAGTTCATTACAAATTCGTATACTTACTATAGGTAAAATTTCTAATAATTTGTTAAGCCATGGTATTCTTTTAGAAAGTCTTCAAAGAAACAAAACATACAAATAATCTTTGTATGTCTAATTAGCATGATAATAAAAGTGTTAACAGTCTAAATCTTATCTATTATTTCCTCCTAATAATCGGTTATTCTTCCAGATGCCATAAGTGAAAGCAGCCCGCGCGTGGTTGACGACAACCGCGCTCGTAAACTATCCAATGAACTAAGGAGGTGCTCTTACTACGAGACTTGTGCGACTTACGGTTTGAACGTGGAACGAGTGTTTCAAGATGGTTAGTTTTAAATTTTAATACTATAAAATGTATCAGTATTACAATTTAAAAGACAATTGCATTAAAAAAAGAATAATTTGTTTATCTGTGCACTCATATTTCAATTGCATAATACATTTTTCTATACGCATATAAGTTTCGCGTGCGTCTATCTACAATTTGCGTGATGATATCGGATAGTGGATGTAGTTTTTGCGTGGGGAGTTTGTTACGCGCAGTGGTAACACCGGTCGCAAGCTGAGCGGTCGTATCGCTCGGATGGAGTAATTTTCATTCGTTCCGCATTGTTTACATTTTTTTGTCATTCTTCAATAAACGCTTTGCCGGTAAATTGTCAGTGTGTGATTTTTTGTGATAAGTGTAGTGTACTGATGGAGAAATGGATAAAACTCTTATATTCAAATCGAATATGTCACCAATATCGAGTTTAAGGCGTCGGAGTTCATGCTACAATATACAAAGAGCTGAGGAACGCGACCGACGAAAATCGGCTAAATTTGAATGTGCGTGGATGTTAACCGTTTAAAGTGTATTGTTTTCGTGCATCTTTTAAAATTGTTTTAGAATATGTAGATATGTTATTTTTGTGTGATGTGTTGTGACGAGCGTGTTATTTTTCCAGCGTGCCAGAAGATCGTAGGAACGAGACTATCAGCATCATCGCAATGCCTCTCAGGTTCGAGACCAGTCACTCCACAGCCCCTGGCCAATTCTCCAAGTCACAATCATTCGACATTCCTTTACAAGGTAAATCCTATGTCTAAATTACACGGTTCACTAAATTCAGTAAACGAGTTTAAATTTGTTCTGTCATAGGCAATTTAATGTCAAGGTCTTAGTTCGTAGCACCAAAACTAAATTCAAACTTACATAAATACGCTATTATACTTTTTATGGTTTGCCTGCTTCGTATAAAATAGGCGTTGAGTGTTTATATATTTATAGGTACAAGCAATATTAACAAACGAATGTTTGTATCATATTTATACTATTAATTTTAACTCAAAGATATCTTTATCAATATTAATTGAAAATTAAATATTAATCTCGTCTCGAACTCATCGTATCGTAGAATATTGAAATGATTTGATTATTTTATGTTATTTGTAAAATAGTCTACATGATATAAAAATCAAGATATGTCTTTATTTTATTGCTGATAAAGTTTTAGAGATTGTGTGATATATTTCTATTTTTATATAACTGTTATTTAACAGTGTAGTTTATGACTAGTTTTCATGTTTAAGTGGTATTTTGAAAACAAAATGTAGAATTTGCATAAAATTATGTTTATTTTCAGCGGCAGTAATCTTGACCTGATGCCAATTCAGAATTAATTTTCTCACATGTCTCAGTGTAATGCTTTGTCAAGGTTACACTTTCCATTATTACGGATAATGTTTAATTATCATGTTTAACAACCTGTATCTGTCTATAAACCAATCTAGATTTAGTTAGGCATGTTTGGGTTTATTTTTGTATAAACATGTGTTATTTATTATATGTTGTAAAGTGGTTTTTATACCTGCCTGATTTTTTTTATTATTCATTTGAAATTACTTTTACTATGAGTGTCAAGGATTGTTATCAGTTTACAACTTGAATAATTTATGCACATTAGTACTGTAACTTAGAACAAAATAGTTAGAACATAATATAAAAGTACTCTAACTGTAATTAAGTGTAAAATATTACTTAGAGTACTGATTACTCATATTATACATCTTCTTCAGGACTCACTGCCTCGTCATCACACACTGTCAGCGTCTTCTCATCACCTTCACCGAGGTGGTTCATCGTTTGACGCGTCATCAAACAGCAGTGGGATATCATCAACACATGTAGTAGAAATACACAGCACAAACGGCTCGGACACATCATCTAGATGGGGGAATTCACTCGGAAGTCATGGCTCATCGTCAGGATTGGTTTCCATAGCAACCGAGAATAACAACGTTAAATTCACTGCACCCCACTGCCTAGATAACCTACAACCAGTCAAAGATATCAAAGATCTACCAACGCCTTCATCTACGCCTACCACATCTAGGAAGTCAAGACGAAGATCGAATCTATTCACACCATCGAAGAAAGGTGATGACCGTTTGAAGAATGGTGAACTTGGGTCGGGGAGAGCGATACCATTGAAACAGGGTTACTTGTATAAGAAGAGCAGCAAGGCTTTAAATAAGGAGTGGAAGAAGAAGTATGTCACTCTATGTGACGATGGACGGTTGACATACCATCCTAGCTTACATGTGAGTTATATATATAAGTAATCTGTTTTAATATTGTATGTATGCCTAAAATATATTAGAATTACTTTAGAAAGAGTATAAAGCCCAATTTTTGAGTGCTTGAGTATCATTCCACTCATTGGAAGAACCAAAAAAAATTACCATACAGTTTGGTTTAGTAATATAAAGATATATATCAAGCTATGAATGTTTCAGGATTATATGGAGGATGTTAACGGAAAGGAAATATCGTTACAATATGTAACAGTAAAAGTTCCTGGACAGAAGCCTCGAGGATCTAAGTCTATCATTACAACTGTGCCTGGGTACAACGGATACACTAGTGTTGATATACATGACAGTATTGGAGGACTATCATTAGGTAAAGAAAATTATATTAAATTTAATATTAATATTTGTATGTAATTGTTGCTAAACATACATATATGTATTAAATAGTTATGTGTGTTTATTTTAATGGAATTTGCTGTATAAAAACTTTCATTTCTCTGAATGTATGGACACAGGATCAAATCTTAGTCTGATATGATAATTTATCAATAATTTTCATAAAAAATTTGGTATATATAAAAGTCAGTGGTGGCCTAGTGGTTAAAAGTATCTGCCGCTCGTGAACAAGGGCGCGGGTTCGATCCTGGCAAGTACAAATGTGATTAATCGGAGTCATATGTACTTTCTAAGAGTATTTAGACATCACTGACATCGTGAGGAAACCTGAACTTATAATTTCACAATTATAAGTTTGAAATCACCAACCCATCTTGAGCAAGTGTGGTGATTAATGCTCAAAACTCCATGTGAGAAAGAGCCTTTGATCAGTAGTGGGCTCTGGTAGGCTGATGACATAATTTTGTGGTCTTTATTATATATTTAGTAATTTATTTAGTTATAGAAATTTTAATAACTAATATATGTATTCTCAGGCTACAAAGACAAACCCACCCGAGCTACAGACAAGGCGTTGATGTCAGCGTTCGATACTATGAAGGAACCGGCGTCGGGGAGACAGTCGGCTGATGACGTCACTGATAAAGATACACCTCACGTGAAGAAACGACACAGACGGATGAAGAGCAGCGGGGTTAAGAAGGATGGGGACGAAGGTGGGGATGGGATAGAGTACTACATGGAGTATACAGTACAGTGCATTACATAGAGTAGTAATTGTAGGGTAAAAAGGACCTGGACTAATTTCAGTATACTGATATGCTTAGTTCGACGTTAAAAGTAACTCAACACTGAGTTTAATAAATGTAGAATATTAATTAGAAATGTAGCATATGAATTGCAATGAACCACACCTTACCATTTATATTGTTCATGTTACTGTTAGCTTGTAATATACTCGATATGCTTAAGTTTGTATAGTCATTTCTTTGATTATTTTTTAAAGGAAGGTTATGAGAATTCCATCCATATATGAATTAGTTATGGAATTATATCAACAATGTAACCATTTGTCTCTCGTTAAGACAAATATCTCTTATCTCTAATCCGTTCATTACTTACATGATTTTTATGTACCACGTGAAATAACCATCAATATTCAGTTAAGTTCAAACTCGTTAAGACAAATATCCCGTCTTTATCATGAGTTTATTACTTCATAATTTTATTTACCACGTGAAGTAATCATCAATATTCAGTTGAAATAATGAACTCTCTACTAAGTCATACAATTATCATTCCAGAAGTCGACCCGGCCACATCGTGTGAGTTCACGATAGTGTCGTTGGACGGTAAGAGATGGCGCTGGGAGGCGGGCGCGGGGGCTGCGGGCGGCGGCGCGGGGGGCGCAGGCTCGCCCGCCGCCGCCGCTGAGAGGGACGCCTGGGTCGCCGCGGTGGAGGCGCAGATACTGGCCTCGCTACAAGGACGAGTGAGATATACACTACATACTATGATATAGTTAACGATAAACGAAGTTATATATGTAATATGTTAACAATTCTATCATCTTCATCAGCCTATCAGAGCCTACTGCTGAGCAAAGGCCTCTTTCTCACATGGAGAAGGTTTTAGCTTTAATCACCACGCTCGCTCAAGACGGTTTGGTGATTTTCAAACTTATAATTTGAAATTATAAGTCCAGGTTTCCTCACGATGTTTTTTTTCACCGTATCTAAATACTCTTAGAAAGTACTTATGACTCGGAATAATCACATTGGTACTTGCCAAGTTTAAAACCGTGCCTACCTTAACAATTCTATACTACTTACAAAAATTAATAAGATTCTGTAACTGCGAATTTATAGTTTTATCTTGCATATATTTTTTCGACAGATGACAAATTTAATATTTAACTTGTATATTTATATTTATAAATGTAACATAATATTAATTACATATTAATATATATTACAGACGTCCCGTCAGCCGGCGCCTACCGGTGCTAACTCAACGGGCGACGTCCGAGCTACATACTACATACGACGAGTGAAGGGAAATGACAAGTGTTGTGACTGTGGAGCGCCAGGTATACTATAATACTGTTATATATTAATAATCTATACACTATACAAATCCTATATATAATATCTATCTAAATATATTATAAATGATACAATAAAATCATATCCCATTACTGAAACTAATATCATTCGGATTATACTACCAGTATTTTATCAGAAACGTCGGGAAAATGTAGTTTCTACAATAATAAAATAGTATGATCCTAATAATATTGGATCATTTAAATGAATACTCGTGAAAGTTTTAGATCTCATCATATCCTATGAGTACACACACACACGCGCTCACACAGCCATGTATATATACTAGCTGCGCCCCGCGGAGTTACCCGCGGATTTCTGGGATGTAAAGTAGCCTATATGTTATTCCTGGCCGTCAGCTTCCTGTATATAAAATTTTATGAAATGCTGTTCAGCCGTTTGAGCGTGAAGAAGTAACAAACATACACACACACTCACAAACTTTCGCAATTATAATATTAGTAGGATATTTATATATGTATTAATGTATTATAAATGTTTTTTTCAGACCCTGACTGGGCGAGTCTGAACCTGGGCGTGGTGATCTGTATCGAGTGTTCAGGAGTTCATAGAAACCTCGGCTCACACGTGTCGAGGGTCCGCTCACTGGATTTAGACGAGTGGCCGTCAGTATATAACACTAATATATACACCAGACTTTGTCCACATTTACTTAGTCATTATATATATGACAACTGGCAACACTATCTATTTATTGCCTGTGTTGCATGTCATAAATCACAAAGTCTGTATATTAGAATGTAGTTGTATTCTATTATCGGGTTCGATTCCCGGCTGACAAACTATTTTTATTTTTAAACTTTTATAATTGCTTATGTAGTCATACACAGTATAAGTTAATGTTTTTGTCCATAAATGTCTTTCTATACTAACATACCTTCTCACATTTATTTTTTCTGTTCCATAAATATATCATGAAATATCCTGTTTTATAAAGTATATATTAATATAATGATGAATGTTTCAAACAGTTTGGGTCACGTGAGCGTCATGGTGGCTATGGGCAATACGTTGGCGAATTCAATATGGGAAGCTGATCTAAGAGGACATATTAAACCCATCGCTACCTCCTCCAGGGAGGATAAAGAACGGTATGCAATAAGTTATTTATTATGCCAAATAATAAAATACTTATTTATCCATACGATTTTTACATCATCAAATAATCTTATAGAAGATTCTAAGTATTATTAGAATAATCCCTAAATAGTTTGGATGGTATAATAATTTTGGTTGAAATGAATAAAATAGCTTCTGCATATTTATATCTTACTCGACGTAATCCTCTCCACTTCGTGTCAGTAATACATAATACTAGAAGACCCGGCGAACTTCGTATCGCGCTATAATCAAGAAATATCTGTTACATTTTTTTAATTTATATTTTTGGAGTTTACCTATTAAAGCTATAAATCTCCGTATTTTGAAGTGCTACAGAATGATTGACATATTAGTTAGTTGTCAAACCTAATGTCAAAAAACGTTTGTATCAACAACTACTTATAAAAATTAAAATTAATTAAAAAAACATTGTCCAGCAGACAAAATTGTGAATCTAAACCATTCCTAGATCCCCTTGAACACACACAAAAAAATTTAATCAAAATCGGTCCAGTCGTATGAGAGAAGTTCAGTGACATACACACTCACAGAAGAATTGTATACATAAAGATTTGTTTAATATTTCAGGTGGATCCGTATGAAGTACGAGCGTCGTTCGTTCCTATCGTGTGAGTCTGTCCGCGGTAGTGTGGGTGAGGCGTTACGGACGTACGCTGCTCGAGGCGCGGTCGGGTCACTGGCACGTCTGCTGGCAGCGCAGCCACCACGCTCACCACATAATAATGATAGGAGTTTGGCGCTTAGAGCGGCCGCAGCGGCTGGACATCTACCCGCAGCGCAACTACTCATATGGGTGAGTGAAAATTATATTTATTTAATGGGGCAAAGTATAGAAGAGACGAAACTTCTCAGAATTCCGTGGCTTCACCTTGCGGGTGCCGGGTCCATCGTTGTAGAGAGATGAGCTTCAACAGTGACTGGGATTTGCGACCCAGGTGTAGGTTTAAGGGGCCCAATTTGAGGGATTTGGACGAAAATAATAATGGATTACATTGATATACAGAGATTTATTAAGATAATACCACACAGTGCGAAACGGTTGACACAATGGATTATAATACAATCAGATTGACATATTGCGGCATAGACAATTAAGACAATTTATATGTTTGGTTTATACTAATTCCAACACTACCAATAAAGTAAAGAACTGTATTAGTATAAATGAATATAATATTTGTCGTACTACGTGTATTTTATTATTGTAACTTCATATACTTCCGACGTTTCGACTATTTTAGCAACCGTGATCACGGGCAGAGGAAATGTGAATGAATCGTATTAGTATGACATCTTAGATCTCATTAGTACGACATTAATTAATTAATAATTTGGAACTGTTTTCATTGATTATACTCATCAACCGTGATCACGGGCAGACGAGATTAGATTGTGTTAGTATGTTAGTGATTTAAAACTGTTTTTATTGCTTAAAAATGTATTATATATTTCCAGCACAACGGCAACCCGAACTTCCCCGACGCTGACGGCCATACATGCGTATTCTACGCTCGAGCGGCCGCCAATCATCTCTCTGGTATACCGACCCAGTACCCAAAGAACCTCCAAATCACATGTCCACTCCACCCAAGCCCACCCACAAGCGGAACAAACTCTACAAGCTCAAGCTCAAGCGCAAAAAGCACCAAAAACGCTGAACCGGAATGCAATTGCATCATATTCGAATTGCTCAACGCTCAAAGCGCTTCAAACGCGCTAGTAGAGATATTAATCGGTCTACAGAATAATCAGTACATGAGCAACGGATTTGATTCATTCACACAGACATTAGGCCGACCGCTGGGCAGTCTGTCGCTAACGAACGGCAAGTGCGGCAGTATAGTGTAATTAATAATTAATAATATATAAGTTTTCATAGTTACCGTCGTATAATGTACCCACAGTTAGATATTAACTTGACAACTATCAGTGTAATATATATTAAGTTGTGAACTATTGTATTATGGCCGCTGTTTTATTATTTTCACAAATTTTTTATTGTAATTATTTGTAAATTATGTTTTATTCTTGTAAGTATATTTTTTGTCATTTATTTAATGCTTTATATGTAATGAGACGCCTCTGGTACTATTTTTGGATATTCCATACATTTTATTATAATTTATGTATGAAGTATTGTAAGTCAGTACATTATTATGGAGGTGCTTTGTTTAAGTAACTCAGTCTTTTGGTGCTGCTATTTTTATTTTCTATTTCGGTTGCTATATAATTTATTTAATTTTTCTTACATATAAAATGTTTAAGCGCAAATCGTGAGCCATATGATAGATAAAAATTAATATATTGTTTCATTTTTGGTTCTCAAGTGTTAAAGAAATTATTCTTTTTGCTTTTATTTAATAAACAGCACTCTCAGTGAAAATTAAATATATACTAATAATTCTTTGTACTATTGAGGATTTTACATAATAATGATATATTTATTTCCACTTCATTCCAGTCCATATATATCTGTAATTTGTAATACATACAATTTATATGTAGTGTAAATTTATTTTATTGTATAGATAATTCTTTAGCAAAATTTCATGTGAAATAAATTTTAAATCTTAGTTAAATGATACAATGTACTGAATTTTATAAAGGTCTCACTGCCGGGACAGTGTGTACGAGCCTTTATTGATATTAAGGCGGTTTTACACTATGAGAGCACTTTACATTGGATAGAGCACTGTATGAACACTTGAATGATCAAATATATATATAAATATCACATTGTATGCACTCGTCAGTAATGAAACACAATTTCAAGAATTATCTCCATATTTATTTTCTTCATTTTATATGAATTCTTTTCTATAAACGATGTATACTTAATACTTGTAATAGCGTCGATTGTAGTCTAGAACACACTTAGATGTAATTTATTGAATTAGTATACAAGATCTCAGCTCAACGCTATTTGTAGGGTAAATTAGAGTGAATATTTAGGATTAATTATTGTTCGCTTTCCCCCAACCTCCCTTGAGCTTGGATATATTCGCTTTGGCCACGGGTCAAGTATAGCTGGTCTTCGGATACATGCGACTCGATTTCAATACATTCCATTAACATTGTCCAAACTCAAGGGACTATAGTGGATGTGATACTCCTAAGGTTTCCCGTAATAAGCCAAATGTACTGAACCCTTCTGTGCCTACTTTACGTAGTCTACGCTTTATACTAATGATTACAGTCCATACGATTTATAATCTGTATGGACTGTGACGTTGTTATTGTATTATAATTAATACTTAATGTATACAAGGCGAGTATAGGACTATAATGAACGTGCATTTAGTTGTAGTGATACATTCGACCACGTCGTAATATCAACCTTATTGCTAGCATCACAACGGCGGTTTTCGATTGCTTCTTATATTTATTTAACAATTTTATTATATCTTCAACAGATTTTATTCGTTTTTTAAAAATGGAATTTGTAATTTTTTTAGTTTAAAATAAAACCGATGTCAGTATTGGATTATATTATATAACTGTAATGTTTTTGAATTATAGATGTTTTTTTAAATTCGTTACAAGGACATTTGATTTTGCGAGTTTATTATTTTGTTTGTTTGATATATTTTTTTGTATATTTTGTGTAGAGGCCAAAGAGCTTAACTTGTACATACGGCGCGGCCGCCTCCAGCCGCACGACTTCGTTACTGTAATTACTAAGACATTGTTGATGTTCTTGATATTGTGGAAATAAAGTGGAAACTGAAAACTGCCTCATTTATTTTATACCTTCAATCATAGTATACATTCATTGATAATAAAAAAGATAATTAAATTATTCATGACAGTACTTTTCTCGCAGTGGCATGTAAACCATTGATGAAAATAAGAACTTATTACCCTGCCCATACAACAACTAAACCTATCTAAGCGCACGGTAGTGCGCCGGTCAAGTTCCACAGGCCGGCGCATGCCGTGCACTATATTTACACGAACCGTTTCGACCCACTTTTGACCCCGTTGTAGCTCAGTGCCTATTGCAAGTACAGAGATAAAATTGTACCTACGTAATCATATACTAGTCCTAAAGCAGTATGCCAAATTTCATAGATAAAGCTTCAGTAGACCCTGAAATATGACCCTGTGAAAATAGCTAATTTTGGCACTGACTCACTGACAGGTAATCAAAACCTTTATATAGGCGCTCAGCTCAGCATAATAAAATACATAATAATGAAATATTAATAATTAATAATATGAGTACATCTATCAATCGGTGATAAATGAAACTAAAAAATAAATATACCTAGTTTAAAAAAAACTAAAAAACACGCTCCAATGATGAAAGAAACCGCGTGGAAACTAATTTAACCTTTACAACCTTGGAAATCAATTTAATTTAAATTGTGTAAAATAAACAATAAATGGTATTATTGAAAAAAAAAGCGTGGGGCGCTTCTCAAGAAGTGATATATGAAGCTCATCACGCTTTTTTTCACAAAAATACCATTTATTGTTTGTTAATTTATTTTTAAATTAATATTATTGTGAAAAAAGTGTGGGGCGCTTCTTAAGAACTGATATATATATATATATATATATATATATATATATATATAAGGGATATAAAATATTGTCATGTATACATAATGCACACTGTATAACTTAATTAAATATTGCTTACCTAAAAAATCAGGTTTCTATTGTTATAAATTACTTTCGATAGATGGCGCTAGCGGTATAATTGAATCGCGATATTGTTTTGTCTGCAGTATATATGAATGAAAGTCGATAAGGAATCGATGGTCATTTCTTTCTATTTCTTTCTACACTTACGTCTTGATATCTTATATATGGTTACGATTACGATTAAATGGATCACTGATTTGAATTGCTAAAGGATTAATTTTGATATTGCTTATTGATTGATTACTTGTGTGTGTTAAAAGCACAAATTCACTCTATTTCTTTTCCACTATTCATTTACCAACGATGGAAATTGTACATCTTTCGGTGGTTGGCGGAGATATACCACATAGGGTAATTTCTATGCCATCAGATGGTAGCTGTATGTTTCATGCTGTAAGTTATGCATTGTACGGCTGTATAGTACGATTGTATGTACGATTTCTTGAAAAAAAGTATTGAAATCTCACCAAAAACATTCCTGTTAAAAAGGGGGCCAAGTTCCAATCGGCTAATTGTTTGCCTAAAAAAGGGGTGAAATCCAATCTAATGCCAAGTTTAAATGCACTTTGAAATCGATCATAATCATCTTCATCAACAGCATAATCCACTGGTAAACATTTACCATTCCCAAGACTCGCCACCACACCCAGTCCTCTGCCTTCCACATCCAACCACTACCCGCCACCTTATTCACGTCAACGGTCCATCTGGCCGAAATTCACTTTACCATACACCCAACTTAAAATATGGTATAGTTGTGAAAATACGTAGGTGCTTGGTTAAAAATATCTTAAATTATAATACTTCTAAATTTGAACTTGGCAGGTTAATTCAATTATTTAAATTATATAATATTTAAATTATATAAATACTAGAAGACCTGGCGAACTTCGTATCACCCTATAATCAAGAAATATCTTTTACGTTTTTTTATTTATATTTTTGGAGTTTACCTGTAAGCCATAAATCTCCGTGTTTTGAAGTGCGACAGAATGATTGACATTTTAGTTAGTTGTCAAATCGAATGTCAAAAAAAAACGTTTGTATTGGGTGTATGGTAAAGTGAATTTCGGCCAGATGGCCCGTTGACGTGAATAAGGTGGCGAGTAGTGGCTGGATGTGGAAGGCAGAGGACTGGATGTGGTGGCGAGTCTTGGGAATGGCAAATGTTTACCAGTGGATCATGCTGTTGATGAAGATGATTATGATCGATTTCAAAGTACATCTAAACTTGGCATTAGATTGGATTTCACCCCTTTTTTAGGCAAACAATTAGCCGATTGGAACTTGGCCCCCTTTTTAACAGGCATGTTTTTGGTGAGTATTATTTAAGTCTAACATACATACTTTTAATCATACATTAACTCGGCGGGAGGCACTACCGGGTAAAATTTACAACATAGTGCATACTTTCGAAAATATTTATTTTTGTAAGTAATTTTGTGCAGTACCGTTTTAGATACATACCTTTCGACAGATGTTCAACGGTTCGACTAATAAAGAAAATCGTGACGAAAGAGACCTAGAAGAGATTACTTGAAGGTGTTGTTTCTTGTATTGCCACAAATTAAGTGTAAATCTAGCATCTTAAATATGCCTACATACATTTATGAAAAGTAAAAACTTGGTGGTAATGGCGAGCAAAATAATAATATTCCAAATAACAACAGGAAAGAGCCCTGCAGCCACACTCGCAAATTTTTCGTTTTGTGCACAAAATGGCTGAGCTTTTGGGCTATGTTTTAAAATTTCAAATATTACATATTATACCAAGTGTTTATTAGTTTCCAACTGTCTTGTTTAATTGAAAATGTAATACAATATAATATAAAAATTGGTTATATTTAATTATCCATAAAATAACTCTAGTTCTAGTTTACTTACATTAATATTATTGTGGTATTTTTTTTCCGCCGAGTTAAGAAAATATATGAATGTTTACCGACATTTAAAATGACATTTGAGTCACCATGTGGTAACATTGTTAAAAGTGTCATCTATAAACAGAAAACGAAATATTTTGGATCGGCTGCTGCTAACTGCAACTTGCAAGGGCCGCTTTGTTATATGTATAATATATTTTCTATACAATTAATAATCTATAATATAGGACGATCTACAAATTTCGTGTTTTATACAGATGTCTCTATGTGGCTGTGTAAACTTTAAATCGTCATAGAAACTGTTTTAACTGTCAA